TTAATTGCCAAAAGTCCCCCAGGGAGAGGTAAGTTGCCTCCTACCCACCCCCAGTCAAGAAACTAATGTGACTCAGAGGGCCACACCCAGAAAGAAGTCATGCAAGTAAGGGGGGACTTGTTGAGAAGGGAAAGGGAGGGGGTGAGAGAGAGGGGAAGCAAGTGTGTGTTAAAGTGACCGAAATTCATTATATAAATGTATGGGACTGTCAAACAAACAGATAAAACCTCTGCAAGCTTAAAGTCAAATCAGCTCATCCACTGGCTGAATCCAGGGCACACCAGTTTTCAACTTCTGTTGGATTCTTACTGTACATTTTTTTCATGGAGAGAAATTTCAGCCGGACTCAAGAATTAAATATGGAGGTGGACTCGTGTGCACACATCTATGTTCACGCTACCATCCACAGAAACAGGGTGTCTTAGGGTTTCTATGGCTGTGAAGAGACCCTATGCCCACGACAACTCTTATAAAGAAAAACATTTAATTGGGGCTGGCCTACAGTTCAGAGGTTTAGTCTGTTATCATCTTGGCAGGACATGGCCGCATGCGGGCAGACATGGTGCTGGAGGAGCTGAGAGTTGTACATTTTGATCCACAGGTATCAGGAAAAGAACTGGCTTGAGCTTCTGAGACCTCAAAGCCCACCCCCACAGTGATACACTTCCTCTAACAAGGCCACACCTACTCCAACAAGACCACACCTCCTAATAGTGCCACTCCTTATGGGCCACGCGTTCAAACACATGAGTCTGTGGGGGCCATTCCTCAAACCACCATACAGGGTGAGAGTGGAGGTGAACTCACATTATATTTTGGAGTACTGGGGAGCCATGGTGACAGAAAGGTCGATGACCTTGTCCTCTGTGGAGTTACTTCCCTTGGACTGTTCTTTGCTGTGGCAGTCCTGTCTTGCATGGAGGACCACATGGGGACAGTTCAGTCTAATCAGGGCACTGTGTGAGTGCTGTACTATCCCTCCAGGTCCCATGGGAAGAACTGAGCTTCTTGCTTTCGTGTCATGGACAGTGTGGACTTTACGAGCTGGGTTTATTATCACCTGAGTCAGCTCAGTGTGCAATCGGCTGGTGGAGTTACTTGCCGGCAGCCCAAGAGCGATTAGTGGCAAGACTCTGGCTGAAGCTTGACTGCTTGGTTAGATCCACGCTGGGCATTTACTGTCTGTATGAGTCTCAGTGAACTGTGTAGCTTCTTGAGGGTGATGATGATGGTGATGGTAATGATGGTGGTGATGATGATGTTGATGGTGATGGTAATGATGGTGGTCATGATGTTGATGGTGATGGTGTAGGTAATGGTGGTGATGATGATGATAATGGTGATGGTAATGATGGTGATGATGATGTTGATGGTGATGGTAATGATGGTGATGATAGTGATGATGATGATGATGGTGATGCTAATAGTGTTGGTAATAATGGTGGTGGTGATGATGATGATGATGAAGTGATAATGGCATTGATGGTGATAGTGATGATGGTGGTAATGATGATGATGATGATGTGATGGTAATAATGGTGGTGATGATGATGATGGTGGTGATGATGATGATGATGATGTGATGGTAATAATGGTGGTGATGATGATGATGGTGATGGTAATGATGATGGTGATGATGGTAGTGATACTGGTGATGATGATGATGATGATGATGATGAAGTGATAATGGCATTGATGGTGATGATGGTGATAATGATCGTGATGACGCTATTGGTGATTATGGTAATGGTGATGATGATGGTGATGGCATTTTTGTTTTCCTTTGTCCTTAGTCTTCTATATTTTATCTTGTTTTTGTTGCTATAATAGTCACTCACCTCTAATACTCAGTGGCCAAGCTGGCTTCTGTTTCAAGACTGGCTCACAAGACTGTCTGTCTCTGCCTCTGACTGTTCACTTTATGAGTATACACATGGTGCTCACTCAGTGCTCAGTCATGTCCTTGAACCTTCAGAGTGGTTCTTCTTCCTACTGATGTTAATTTGAATCCTTTTGGGAAAAGAGAAAAGAAAATCTGGCCTCAGAGACTGTGTTTCCTGCCTCCCTGAATTAATGTTGGCACTCACAAAGACCTCACTCTCGGTCCTGTCTTTATGACCCTGAGACTTGTACAAGTGTAGCTACACCCAGGCCACTCAGGTGCCAGTGGGTTACCAGCAGATGGTGAGGGCCACAGTTGGACATACTGGTGAGGAGTTTGTCTTACTGGTGGTTTGGAAAGACCTGCCAGTCTGGGCCCCCAGAGAGAAAGCTTTCTGTGCCTGGGTTTCCATGCCCATGCTGTCTCCATGCCCATGCTGCTTGTGGGAATTGGAGAAAGAGACTCAGCTGCAGCAGCACCCTGCACCTCTGTCCAGGCAGGTGACCCTCAGCCACACAGCTGGTGAGTTATTTCCTAGATAGGGCTGACGATGGTATTGCTGGAGACTATTTTCCAGGTCTGTGGCTCGTTGCAGCTTTACGCAAGTCTGTCTTTGGGGTTCAAGGTTTCAGGTCCTACTAGTCGTGACCAAGGCGCATGTTCAGAAGGTGTTGGTAGGCAAGCACAGCGGTGACATGCAGCCACTCTCTTTGGGTCTCCCAGGGCCCCGTGAACTGCTTCATTACACGTGCTCCTTCATCCCCTCCTCTGTCCCAGCCTGAGCTCTCTTGGAGACCTTCTCAGGGCCACCTGCATCTTTTGCCTCCAAGCATCAGGACTACAGCATCTTCCTGGTCTAACCTGGGCTTCACTTTTTGGCTCCGAAAGGGGCCAGGATGAACGGTCCTTCCTGCTGACCCCCCGAAACCTTCCTCCTTTCCTGCTCTCAGTGCCTGGATCCTGCCTTCCAGTGGCAATCAGCTCTCTAAGAAAACAGCAGACCAAACAGGGCCTTGTGTCATAGTCCACGCCCGGGCTCAGGTCTGCCTGCAGATGGGAAAAAGAATGGCGCTTCTCTATGACAGAGGGAGGGATGTTAGCTTCCCAGGACAGCCTCAGGGCTTCATAAATGCCCCTAAATCAAGGTAGCATGCTTGGTTACTAGCTGGTTGGAGGAGAGGATGTGGCCTCAGCTGTGGATGTCTATGGCTGTCCATAGAGGCGGTGAGACAAAATTTATGTCACAGTTTGCTTGATTGATGGTGGGACAGGAGTGAGGCCTCATAGGGATGTGTCTGATAAGACGGAGGCTTCGCCTAAAATGAAGAGAAGGAACAGCCTTAGGTTCCTCGTGAATCCGTTTTTTGAGCGATGTAGCATAACCACATGAAAGATAAAGGAATAAACCAAAGCACAAAGAAGGTGGAGCATGTGAAAGTGTATGCTTATTTTGACTTCTTTTTTCTGCATTTCTAAAGAAGTTAGAATTTAAACCCTGCTCTGGACATTGCCTACATTTTAGGAGAAGACACAACCGGAACCACAGGAGGGCCAGGTGCCCTCATAGTCCCTCCAAAGAGGGTCACCTTTTCCTCATCACTGTGGTCCAATGGTGAGCTATTCCATCAGAAAATTCACCTGGGATTTAATTTTCTGTTTGGAGAGCCCATCCCACCCCCCCCAAATCAGCATACTCAAGCAAATTCTAATTTAAATTTTATCTGGTGAAGTAATCTAGACTTGGAAAGACAAATGTCATGTTTTCACTCCTGTGTGGAGCCTAGATAACACACACACACCTATACACCACAAACACATATGCATACACATACGTACCTACATACACATATACTATAAACACACATATATGCGCACACACCACACACATACACACATGCACTCACACATACAACACATAGTACACACACACAGTCTGTTTCTGTGTGTGGGTTACGTGTTTTAATGAATGATATTTGGTTATTGTAACATGTTGAAAATACTAAATAGCAAAAAAAAACTTTGTTGGGTTACAAAGACACACAGATGTAAGTACATGTATACACACATGTATATATAAATCTTCATATATGATAATCTGCTTCAGTTTCTATAACAGAATGCCTGAGACTGGGCAACATGTAAAGAGGAGAGGTTTAGAGCTGGCGAGATGGTTCAGTGGGTAAAGATACTTCCTGCTAAGCTTAAATGTCCTGAGTTCAAATCCCAGGACCCATATGGTGAGAGAACCAACCCCTGTATGTCGTCCTTTGACCTCCACCTGTGTGCACCATGGCACATACAATCACACACAACACACAACCCCTGCATGTCATACTATGACCTCCACATGTGTGTGTTATGGCACATAGAATCACACACAACATTCAAAAAAGAATAGAGGTTTAATTGTGTGTGCATGTCCTTTCCCATGATGCATCTGGTTTGATGTACCCCTAGTTGTACATAAGCATAAGGTGGTACCTCAGGGGAGGGGGAGGTCTTTCTCCAAATTTACTTGGGGACACAATTTTGGTTTACTGTGTATGTACTCCAAACCGGTTCAGGCCAGCTTGACCTTTCCATTCTTCATACCTGGATGTATTGGGAAGATATTTGAATAGGAACTGTCTAAGTTTGATCGTTGTTATGGGGGGAGAAGCCTGTTATTCAGAGAGTAAGTGTAGCCCAAGTAGGTAGGGGACCAAGGTTGCTGGGTGCACTGTTCAGAGAGGGTTGTGTGCACAGTAAGCAGTTGCCGAATGCATGAATGCATCGTTAGAAGAGCGGGGTGTGTATAACCCAAACCAAGTGGAGTCCTGGGCTTCTCATCATTCCCTATGCTTGACTCCCTTGCATGGGAAGAGTCAACATTTCTCCTCTGGAAAGGCAGCTGTTTACCTCCAGGACTGTTGGATTTTTGGGCAGTTGGTCTACTTTGCCTTCTATACTGGGCTTTGCTGGGAGATTCTTAGGCCTCTTTAACTTTTTCTGTGATGAGAAGGCTGCGTGGCCATGGTGCACCTTGCTGGGATGGTGGGTGGGGATGGTTATGTCGGTTCATTTCCTCACGTATCAGAACGGACCTTGACTCTGACCGGGCTTTCCTTTTCTTGTGCAGAGAGCACGGGTCGAGGCGTGGCAGACAGTCTGCAGAGGTTCTCTTCGCTGCCTGCCTATCTCCCAGCCAGCTTCCACGTCTCTGATGCAGAGGAGGCGTTCTTCCTCAAGGAGGCCAACCAGGACCTCATGCGCAACGCCAGCCTGCAGGCCCGGTCCGCCACACTCTTCATCCACCGAGCCCAGAGCCCTCCCACCATCAACGCCAGCTACGGCCCCTTCTCTGCGGAGAAGACGGTGCCCTGGGACTTCCTGCTCACCCCCACCCCTTTTGGAAATATGGAGAGGTTCCCTTTCAACTGGAGGCTCAAATCCCACATCCTCGACAGCTCCATCTTTTCCAACAGACCCAAAGTGCAGACGCTGTTCTATGTCACTGGCATGGGCTGGGACGACAATGACCCTGGGGATGATCTCCCCTGCGTTAAGATGTTTGCTTTCCCAGAGGCCAGGGAGGTGGCGGCCAGCTGCCGGCTGCAAGGAGCCCCTGGGCTGTGCGTGGCGGAGCTGGAGCTGTTGCCTGAGTGGTTCAGCTCGGGTCTGGACCTGGAACCCGAGGAGGAGATCCCGGCGATCCTGGGTGGCACGGCCATGGAACTCTTCTTTGCTCTTTATCCAGCCAATGAGGCTGGTCAGTGCCCGCTGGAGGAGGAGGGCAAGTGGGAAAACAACATCCACTCAGAACAGGAGGAACCTCAGCCGGTGCTCCCTGCCCGGGAGAGGATCGGCAGTGTGGTGGTCTACCCTACCCAGGACGACCTGCGGTGGTCCTTGGTGAGCCTCGACGACAACGTCGCCCTCTCCGTTCCTCTGAACCTCATCCGGGAAGGGGACACGGCGACCTTTTTGGTTTCTCTGGCCAGTGGCTCCGTGGCAGAACGGTTCACGCTTCGGTAAGTAGTTATCCGATGGGGGGTGGGGTTGGCTCTTGGTGAACCCCGAACTGCCGGCTACTAGGGTGGAGCTGGTCACTCAATCGCTGTCCAGTGTTTCTCAGAGGTTCGTGTGTTTGGTTCTAGTTAAGGTGGTGAGGGTAGGTTTAATTCACTAGTTACCAACAGCAAAGAGCTGACCTCTATTCCCATGGGAGTCGGGGCGGTTTTAGAGAGAGGGAGGGTAGAGCAGATAACTGAAGTAGAGTGACGGTGGGCTGGGGGTTGGCAGTGTGGATGAGGTACCAGTTTCATCTGCTGGCTGGCTGGGACTGAGTTAGAGGTCTGCCATCCCCAGAGCCTGGGAAACAGAGCCCTGTCTTTCCGGAGGATTCTATTTCAAAGAAATGGCTCTTGGGTCCTTGAGAGAGACATTTGTGGGCTATAAGAGATACGTGTTTATGGTTCAGGGAATGCTTTAGAAAGGGGAGTTAGGGGGGCCCTGCCTTAGGTATGTGCTGACAGTATCAGACCTTCCCAGATGCACTCTCGGGCATCTGGGGCCCTTCTGGGGACAGCTCTCTGTCACTGTGGGTTACTCTGGAGTTCTGTCATATTTCAGTGCAAGGATGGTGGGGTTGGCCCAGTACTGAGAGTTCTGCAGGCCCAGAATCCAGTGCCTTGAGACCCTCATACGAGACTCACCTGAGATGACAGCTGGGGCTTGGGAGACATTCTGGAAAGTGCTCAGTGGTGACTCCGTCTTTTGTCTCTCTTGATGATTTCTCAGCTCTGTTGCTGTGGCCCGGAAGCATCCAGGATGAGGGGCTGGGTTGCAATAAAACATATTTACAAAAGCAGGTGGTTTTTTTTTTTTTTTTTTTGACCTCTCCACTGAATGATTATTGAAGCCAGAGTAGAAGTCAGCCTGTGTTGGATGTGTGTGTGTGTGTGTGTGTGTGTGTGTGTGTGTGTGTGTGTGTGTGTGTATACACACACCACAGGTCAACTAGCTAGGCCCTGAGGGGTAGGAAGAATTTGAGGGAGGGCAAAGGAGGTGAGTCCAAATGGAAGGAGGACCTTAAGCGAGAGACGAGGACCACACAGGTATATTAAAGACAAGAATGTGAGGCTGGGGAGACGGCTTCATCAGTGAAACGTTTGCTGTTCCCGTCTCCCCCGACACTTTCTTTTGTTTTGATTTAAACCACCCTCTCTAAACCTGTCCTCTCCATCATTACACTGAGCTTTCAAGAGTGGATGCTTGCAGCTCCCTTCACGGCCTGATGCGTTGCAGCCATGCTCAGTAGATGGACAGCATGTGGGTGTCTTGCTCTGGGCTTCCTGTTTAGGGAGTCCCTTTGGACAATGGGGGCCTTGAGACTATGCTGGCAAGGTGAGCCCAGACCTCCCAGCACCCTGGCACTCTCTCACCAGGGGCTTGTTCCTCTTGGCCAGGTGACTTCCCCGTTAAAATTCTCCTGGGTGGAGTCAATCCGGCGGCCCATCTAGATTCTCACAAGCGCGCACAGGGCAGGCCTAAACCCGGCTTACTCACGAACGCGGCCTTCCCTGTGTAGACACAGAAGGCGGCTGGTGTAGAGAATAACGATGTGAGCCCTTGAGTTCTCGGTGCTCCTTGCCCCAGGGTTCGACTTGCAGAGGCAGCATGCGAGCTCTGGGGGATGCTCTGGGGTGCAATTGGCCTTCCCAGCTCAGCCTCATTGTAGACACTGCCCCCCCACTTCTTTCTTGCTTGGACTGACTTCCATGTGGTAATCTCTGTTACTGATCAGTCTGTGCCCCATAGGCTAATTGCAACTGTATGGTATTAAGGAAAATGGATAGGAGACAGAGAGAGAGAGAGAGAGAGAGAGAGAGAGAGAGAGAGAGAGAGAGAGAGCCATTTGTGGTTTGAATGAGAAATGAGAAATATTTCTGGCATTGCATGCAGAAGAAACTCAATTTTGGTGCCTTCACATTGCAGAAGAACTGTCGGGAATTAATTTCATTTTGGAGCTGGGCTGGCTTGCACGGCAGCAATCTGTGAGATCAGATAGGACGTTCCGTCGCTGAGCAAGTTCATAAAGCCCTAATAGAACCCGCTGACCATGAGAACCACAGACCAAGCCACAGGCGAGCTTTATTTATTTGCCATCTGTGTGTAAATTTCTGCTGTTATGGAAATTTTGTGGCTTCTAGATAAGACACAATGTACTGGAATAGTTGAGCTGAGATTAAAAAAAAATCCATGTCTGTGTATAAATGTGGGTGAGAAATTAGTGTGAGAATCAGCCTCACGCTTGGGGCCAACCTGTGGTCGAGAGGATGCTCATTTGAATGCACAGTACTGGATCGCTCCTTTGAATATGCAGTCTTGGTTGGCTCCATTGAATATCCAGTCCTGGCTCATTTGAACGCACAGGACTCACTCAAATGCTAGGTGGGCTTAGAAGAGGGTTTAGCGGGTAAATTTCTTGCCTTGCAAACAAGGGGACCTGAGTTCCATCCCCAGAACCCATGCAAAAAATAAAAAAAAAAATAAAACAAAACAAAACCAGGCATGGTGGTGTGAGATTGTAATCCCAGCACTGGGGAGGCAGAGCTGGAAGGCTATGTGGGACTCACTGGTCAGCCAGGGTCTCCTCTGAATTAGTCAGGGTTCTCTGAAGGGGCAGAAATGACAGGATGAACATGTATATTAAAAGGATTTATCAGAGTGACCCACGGGATGCTGTCTGGGCAGTCCAACAATGGCTGTCTTCTGACTAAAGGCTGCAAATCTGGTAGGCCACGAGGCTGGATGTCTCAGCTGTCCCAGTCTGGTGCTGGAGTCATGGGAGGGATTCCTAGAGTGCTGCTGGTCTTCGAGGGATTCCTAGAGAGCTGCTGGTCTTCAGTCCATGTTGGAATGTAGAAGAAGTTGGATTTCACACCTACTACAGCCACAGGACAGAGGCGTCTGCCAGTGAGAGTGAGGGCGAGCAGGCAAAGAGCAAAGTTTCCTGCCTCCGTGGCCTGGCAGCTCAGCTGCCGCAAGCAGGTCCAGCCCAGGTGTAGAGTGGGTCTTCCTGCTTCAAGAAATCTGACCAAGAAAATTCCTCCTAGGATTTTGGAGGTCTAGCCCAGCAGTTCGGGTTTTCGTTGATTCCAGATGTATTGACAACCAGGACTAGTCATCATCATGCTTATTCTTCAATTTCCAGGCCAATGGGAGAGAGAGAGAGAGAGAGAGAGAGAGAGAGAGAGAGAGAGAGACAGAGACAGAGACTGAGAGAGAGGGATACACATACAGAGAGACATAGGCAGAGACAGATAGACATACAAAGAGAGATGGACACACACACACACACACACACACACACACACACACACACACACACACACACACACACACAGATGGGGGACTGAGCTTTCCAGGGGTCAGAAGAGCTCATACCCCACCTTATTACCAGCCTCAGGATCCAGTGTCAATCTCCTCAGAGACCCCCTAGGCGATTGCACAGAGGTTCATATCATTGTGAAAGAAACCATGCTTTTGGAGTTAATTACAGCCAGGAACAGAGCCACGCCCTCCTCTGCTTTTGAGCCTAAAAGAACCTGCGTTGTCGCAGGAGAAAAGGAAGCAGGACGCAGGTGTGTGTGAGGTTACATAACCATCAGCCCAGGTGGCTTGTTCTGGTGCCTGCTGTGGTCTTGAAGGAGCTCACATCACACTGAGACACTCAGTAGGAAGTTTGACTGACTGTGCTTCAGCCGCTTCATGTTGCCATGGTGACCGGAGAGGCACTCAAAGGAAGCCGCAGCCTGGTTGGGTGTGACCTAGTACACACGCAGAATCACCTCCACGTTCCAATGAGGGCTGGTTTTGTTAGTTCAGCTTTCCTCCCCAAAGTTACCAGGTTCCTCAGTGACATTGGCTCTACACCCGTCTGCAAGCCAGCGTGCCCTCACACCTGGGGAAGCGCCAGCTGGGGGACGTGGAGTTTAGGTGGTACCCAGAGTACAAATGGGGGTGAGTTACTGAGGACAGGTGCCTGTCTTTGGTCACTAGGGTTCATGTGCCTTCCATCCCAGGTGCTTCAGGGAGATGGTCTATGGTGCCCCACAGCCACCTGTGAATCTCATCTGTTGCTTTATTGTGTTGGGAACAACAGGAACTCACGGCCCAGGCTGCGAGCCCTTGGCAGGCTGCAGCATCTGGCTGGAATTCAGTAGCATTGTTCCGTTCTCATCAGACTTATTTTAGGGTTTTCTTCTCTTTATGGAAAGGGAGGCTGCTTTGGTTTTCATTGCAGGAGCGGATGTATCGCTCTCTCCCTAGGGAAGGTAATGTGAAGCCAGCCAGTTTTAAAGAGAAATAGGAAGTAATTATGTAGATGCTACCTGGGACAAAGTGAAAATGACATAGAATGATCCAGGGTTTTCCAGGATCAGGAAGGCTGAGGGGCAGTGTGTGTGTGTCCCTCTAGTTCTTGACCTGTATGTCACGATCCCCTTGGGGGTCGAAGGACTCTTTCATAGGGGTCACTTAAGACCATCAGAAATATCAGGTATTCTACATCATGATTCATCACAGTAGCAAAATGACAGTTATGAAGTAGCAACAAAAATAATTTTATGGTTGGGGGTCACCACAACATGAGGTGATTCAAGGGTCGCAGCATTAGGAAGGCTGAGAACCACTGCTCTAACTGATGCATGGGATCAGCCTCAGATGAAGCTGCCTTTGGGTTTGTTTCTTCAGAGGTCACTCACTGACGGGTTGAGTCTGAGATGGCCATCTGGGCCCCCTCGCTCAGCCACCTTCACGTGTGGCCAGCTGTCTGGAACAGGGGCTATTTCAACTTCCCTTGTTGCGATTTTCTCCCCTTTAAAATGGGGGTTGCTCCCACTTCCTGAAGGCATATACGATGAGTCCAGAGGGAATTGCCGGGGGTTGGGGGAGGGAGCGTGAATCAAACTTGAGGTTGAAGGAGGGGTTCACAGGAAGCCAGCTTGCTCATGGCCCTCTCTTCTTC